GGCTATTTCAGTTGTATTTTTTTGCTTTGTTTTGATGCTTTGGTTATGACTGAGTTACCCCCAAGTATACATTGAAGCAAAAGATATTTTGTCCTGACTGGGTCATATCCAAGATAGGAACTTTCTCTTACAAGTATCCCCTCTGGTCCATTTAAAATGCCTCCTTGGTCAGTTTCAGGTTTCATTCCGTTTCAGCCCCTGATCCTGCACAGGCTGGGCAAGCACTTTATCCCTGAGCTGTGCCCTAGCCCCTCCCTCTTCCTCCCTTGAAAAAGTTTTACTGTGTAGCCCTTGCTTGCTCACACTGCTGCTCCTGTCTCAGCCTCCTGAGTGAGCTGGGATGGCAGGTGTGCATAGCCATGCCTGATCCTCCTAGTTTTTCTTTAAGGCTGTTTTGCTTTTTGCTGTGTGTCTGTGTCTGTGTGTGTTTGTCCTAGGGCCTAAACTCTTAAGGTTAGCACTCTACTCTTGAGCTACAGCTCCACTTTTGGCTTTTTGTAGTTAACTGGAGTTAAGAGTCACATGGATTTTCCTGCCCAGGCTGGCTTTGAACCATGATCCTCGAATCTCAACCTCCCTTCCTGAATAGCTAGGATTACAAGTGTGAGCCACCAGCACCCAGCTGCCTTTTGTGTGCGTGGGGGGAGGGGTGGTTCTGGTGTATGAAATCAGTGCCTTACACTTACCTACTGGCACTCTACCACGTGAGCCATACTTTTTGCTACTTTTTGCTGGTTATTTCAGAGATGGAGTTTCCTGGCTTCATCTGGCCTGGGCTGGCCTAGTACTGCTACCCCTCAGATCTCTCCTGAGTAGCCAGGATTATAGGTATGAGTCCCAGGTGCCCAGCTGTTTGCACTGTTAATGGCCTTACCACAGCCTCTCACCAGTCCCCTGCTTCTCTGGCCTTCTTTCACCCTTTTCCATGTAGGACCCACAGAATCCAGTCTGGTTATAATCTGTCCCCTTTGTAAGAAGCACTGTTTTGAAATGTCTTCCAAGATATATGGTCTTGAAAGTTCTCATATTATCTGTGCTTATTTCCCTTTGTTCTCCTTGGAGCCATCTCTTTACCCCTAGCAGTGGCATCCACTCCCTAATGACCCGTCACATACCTCCTCCCCATAGACCCGCCACTAACCAGACTTACTTGTTCTCACACAACTGCTAGTAGAGAGGGTTGGGGGCACATGGTCCTTTGTAGAAGGAGGCTGTCACACCTGCTTTTCTGCAGCTTCCTTTTCTCAAAAAGACCAGCCAGTTGCTGATATTTCCTGATGTCGTTTGAAGAGGTGGCACACTAGCTCCTGCTGTCCCTCTGGTGGCTGCTGACCTTGCTTCCAGGATTGTCCCTGTCTACCAGTGGGTCCTACCACAGCAGAGAGGGCCGTGTCCACACCTAGTGGCTCTTGAGCACAGTGACTGTGCCCCTATCCATGTGAACTCAGCTCAGGACTCTTTCTCCCCACCTCTCTCTCTCTCTCTTTCTCTACCTCCTAGCTTTTCTCCATGCCTTTTCTATTTACAGTACCCCTTCCCCACTAGTACTATGAGACTCCAAGCTGTGATGTGAATCCAGGCCCTGCCCATCCCTCCACAGTATTTTCTGTCCTGTGTTCCCAGGGAACTTAACATCTTTAATATGGTGCATGGTTAGACGTCCCCATTCTGAAAGTGGCAGTGCTGGGCATGGCTGGCACTCTCCCTAATTTCAGGGTCTTTGGAAACAAAATGCAGAGCACCTCACCCCCAAGCATGAATCACCAGAGCTTGAACATAGTAGGTGTTTAATAACTATTCACTGGACTGGTCAAGCTGGGACTCCTGGGACTCTAATTGCCTGTAGTTCGAGTTATTCCTTCCAAAATGGAACCTATTTGTTCTGCCAGAACATAGCTGTGAGTACCCCGCGGACCTTCTTTGTTGGGGTGAACTCCAGCTCTGCAAACCTAGTTGCCAGTCAAGTTCTGAACGCACTGGGGAAGTTTTGAAAGGCAGAATGCCGCTAAGTTGTTCCTCAGCCAGCCTCCAGCTGCGACAGCTTTGAAAGTTAAATGCATCAAGACAGGAAGTTGCCGGGGAAAGGAGAACCACCAATGGAAAGCCAGGATCACCCCCCTCGTGACCACCCAGTGGGGTGCCTAGGGCAATCCTAGGCCTATAGACACCTTCCTCCCCCCCCCCCCCTTAAATTACTGAGATGGGGCTGCCAGACAATGGGAGTAGGAGTTTGGGAATAGCTGTTCCCTGCAGTGCCTTCCCTCCCTCCGCAGCTAGCCAAGCTGTATCAAATCCTACAACCACACCACCCTAATTAGCCCAAGAGTGGAAGGGGTTGCCATGGTGACAAGGCACTTTTTAAAGCCCAGGAATGGTGTTCATTATTGTTCCCAGTCTTTACTTAGCTGTGGGGGAAAGGTCAGTGTGGCCGCTGTTTTCCCTACGAAGTTTGGCCTGAGAGCCTAGGAAGCTGGCGGAATGCGGCTCAGGGAGACGGGACCATGGTGAGTGTGGAGAGCATTCGGGGCGGGGTGGGGGGGCGGTCCTGTGACTGTCATAATAATAACTGAGGGTCAGACTGAGGGATTGTATGGATGCTGTTCGCCGGATGAAGGGGCAAACTGACAAACCAGAAGATGGGTCAGGAACAGCAAACATGGGAGCGATGTCTCGAACAATGAGCATCTTGGATCCTCCAACAGGTTTACTATGGAGACGGGTTCTCTGGTCTTAGGATATGGTAGTGGGTAGACATCGTGGATGTGGCTGTACATTGCTCTGGGTCAGATTGAATTTCCAGATCCCTATCACAGAAACACGGGAGCCAAGCCACGCACTTCCCAAACGGTTCATTTCTGAAAGCGGAGATTCTGCCAAGGGAAGTTTGAGTCTTGATCATTTAATGGTTTTCTTACTTTTGAAAGGTGAGTTGAAATACCTCAGACTGTGAGCCACGGATAGCAGACTCTTGGCTCCAGTCTGCTGGTTACCGTCCCCTCCCTCAAAGTGACTACTGAATGTGAAGATGGCTTGACTGCAGTTTTGTCTAGAAGAGCAGTTTTGTACTCTGAGCGCCGTTGGACGGCTAGAGATGAGGGGAATTCTTCCCTCCAAGGCTGTTCTGGACATTTGCAGAGCATTTTTTAAAGACCTTCAATTATTTGCTTACCTATTTGCAAGTTTAGGAAAACACCACTTTAAGCCTCATTTTGTGTTTATGACTGCGTTTTATTTTAGGATCACCGACTAAGCTACTTTTGCATTTTTGTACTTTTTAACAGTTACAGCTTAGGGATCAACTTTTCAGTCTTTTATTCATGGTTGTGTAGAATAACAAAAGACAAGTTAATTAAAGGGGATGAGTGTGTTTGTATTATAAAACCAATCACCAGTCAAAGAGCCGTGAGTGGGAAATGACCCACTTTTTTTGCTTTACCCCTGTAAACTGTCCTGGCCAGAATGCCCATCAGTTTGTTTGCCAATTAAGCAGATAGTGACCCCATTTTTGAAGTTGAGATCTGGTTTGATTTTCTTTCTTTAATCCTTAAGTCTTTAGGCTCAGTGAGCGAAGTATTTGACTGAAAATTGAACAAATTTCACTTCCTTTGTTTTTTGTTTTCGTTTTTTATCTAGTGACAACTATTTATGTCCCATTCTCCACCGTGTGTGTGTGTGTGTGTGTGTGTGTGTGTGCGCGCGCTCATTTCTTGCTTGATACTGCATTCTTTAGAAGAAAAAAGTGCCTTTAAGTGCCTTAGATTTGATATGTAAAAACAAAGCAATATTTGTCTGACAACAATTTAGATTCTTTTGAGAAAGGTGGATTTTAAAGTGGTGATTCATTTGTAGTTGTAAAATAGGCCATTTTTTTACCTTGATTTTTTTATAGCAAAGAAGATATGATATGCAACTTTTGACTTTGCCTGTGTATACTAAAGAAGATACAGTGGTATTATAGTTAAACTATGACATTTACTAATGTTACAAATGAGATAAAGTCGGCCTTTCTTCAGAAAGTATATGAGTGGGGAAAATAATCAGCTCCTGGATGGAGGAGAAAACCTGTGTTAATAGGTGTTAAAGGAAAGACACCGACCCCTGGGAACCTGTTTTCTAGTGTTCACCTTGGTGTAGGTTCAGAAGTGTTATTATTTTTATTTTTTAGGGCCAGTCCTGGGCCAGTATTCAGAGCCTGGGGCACTGTCCTTGAGCTTTTTCTCTCAAGGCTGACGTTCTACCACTTGAGTACAGTTCTACTTCTGGCTTTTTGGTGGTTAACTGGAGACAGTCTCATGGAGTTTACTGTCCAGATGGCTTTGAACCTTGGATCCTCAGTTACCAGACTTTTTTTTTGCTGCCAGTCCTGGGGCTTAAACACTGGGCCTGGGGACTGTCCCTGAGGTTCATTTGCTCAAGGCTAGCGCTCTACCATTTCAGCCACAGTGCCACTTCTGGCTTTTT